TATCCCGATTTGACTTGTCGTTATGCATATTGTTCGGACATTGTAAATAGTGTCCTGATTAATCTCTTGGTCCGTAACAGCTATCTAGCACACCACGCAATGTACTACAAAGCGACTATAATTTTGATGTCATAATTTAGCGAATCTGTAGAAGTGAAACTTTTTGCCAGCGATATGCCTAAATAATTTTATCCCGATCACAGAAAATAAAGAAAGATAGACGCAGCACTGTGCTCAACTTTTCACTTTCAATTCACACTTTCTTCTTTCTTTCTTTAGCAACCCGTAAAAGTCTACTTCTGGACGCACACATATGCAAACCATATTATCGGTTAAATATTATTTTAGATGCATATGTATATGTGATTTCATGTTCTTAAAATAAATGTAGTATGATTTCGACGTCACTTTAAATGTGCGCAGTGCATCGTCTATTTTCCTTTGATAGCTTCTTTATATCCCGAAATCGCCAATGGGAAATCTTCTTACTTACATTAGATATGACTCATGTCTACCCACCTACTCAGTATCCGAACTAAATACAGAGAAAAAGTTTCACTTTTAGTATTGTTTTATCGACACCACTTGCTTTGACAGTACATTCTGTAATGAATATAATTTTTCAGAGATCTTTCAGAAAATTTTCGACAGAAGTCACTTTGAACAATGATTTTTTAATACTTTAAATTTTAGCTTATTGCATTTTTGAAAAAATATGGTGTAGTGAACACCATTTTTAGGGTTCCGTACCCAAAGGGTAACCAACGGGATCCTATTACTAAGCCTCGCTCTCCGTGCGTCAGTCCGTCTGTCTGTCAGAGTATTGTATCTCATGATCCGTAGTAGGTAGAAAGCTGAAATTTTAACAGAATGTGTATTTCTGTTGCCGCTATAACAAAAAACAATTAAATATAAAAATAAATCAAAAATTGAAGGGGGCTTCCCTTACTAGAAACGTGTTTTACGATGGTACGGAACCCTTTACGTGCGAGTCGTACTCGTACTTGGTTTTTTAATATTCTAAATAATTTTTTAACTTACGTAAGATCTGTAAGTTACAATAATAACAAAATGCCAATACAAGAATTAAACAAATAAATGTCAGACCAAGTTAACATACGCGAGCATCTTTCTTTCTTCAGTTAACTCACGGTAAATAAAATTATTTACAATAAAAATATTTTAAAACATCTGTACTTTTCAAATAACTTAGAAAGAAATGTGTAAATATGCAAATATCACAAAATGATTGCTTATAGGGAAGAGCATAAAACTAATATTATATAGTAATATCCATAAGTTAAAAGCTAAATACGTCTCCATGCAGAAATAATCGAATGAGATTCACACACTTAACTAAAATGGAGAGGTGTAGTTTATATAAAATTAAATACAAAGTCATACTTGATAATTTCAATGTTGGGAAAACATTGATGACATTACAATCTTCATACCATAGTATATCGATAAGTTTTTAAACAATTGGAACATCACTAAATCGATCAGCCATTTTGATTTTTTTTTATACCACGCTACATTTGGCTTGAATGGCTGTCACGTTTGAAGACCACAGTCAAGACGCCTCATAACCTGCAATTTTACTGACTCTCATTATTTTTATATTCAAATCATTATACTTTAAAAATATTTGGATATAAAAATAACCCGTTTTTTTAAATTATAATGAATTTAAAATAAGTTAACGCGATAACCGTAAAACTTAGGTTCATTGTAAAAACATGTATCTCTTTTTGAAGCAATTAGAAAATTGTATTGCCTCCTCTACACTACTCGCGAAGTAACTTCGACGAAGTGCTCGTCGAAGTCGATCGCAATCCTAAGAAAGTGACCACAAACTCGTGCTACTTCGCGAAGAGCTCAGTCGTCTTGAGTCTCCCGTACCCTTAACATGAATAACGTTCAAGAGGCAGCTGCTATAGGTACCTAATTGCGTGAACAGTACGACGTCAATGCGTTAACTAAATGAATAATTATGTAGAAAGCTACATATTTACAATTTTTATATATATATATATAAATCATAACTGGCGTAAGCCGAGTAGTGTAGTGAGATGCGTCGTGTAACTTCGGGGTACTTCGCGAAATCCTTTGAATCTGGCGCAAAAAAACCAACAGCTATCGGAAGTCGCCCGAGGCGAAGCGAGGTTGCACGAAGCGAAACGAAGTACCTCTCTACACTATTCGCCTCGTCCAACTTCGATCTACATCGCGAATAGTGTAGAGGAGGCATATGAATGTACATGTATCGAGTTAAAACTATATTTCTGCAACAAGTGTTAGTACTGAAATGTTGGTTTAGAAGCACCGAAGTAATTTTAGTTAAGTCTTTAAAAATGCTACCACCAACTATCTGTCATTGCTCTAACAATTAAAAAAAATTGAAGTGACAGACTTACAGTTCATCTGATGGCAGTCAACTTTAAACCAAGAAGGCTGAGAACTGAGATGCAATGACTTACAACATACTGGCTCACATTTTTTCGTTCCAAGCATTATTGTTTAACAAGCTTGATTAACAATGGTTCAAACAGTAATTTAACAAACCCGACTGCGTTAAATTTTACTGAGAAAAGGCTTTCTTTCCCTTTTTTGTATTAGTAGATGCAATGTATAAATATTACATAGCCAATCTCACTCCCACTATTAAGACGAACCTATCGACACCTCACATGTTAATATCCATCAAGTCGTCTGGGCTGCAGAGCGTGCCGAAGAAATATACATACATACATACTCTCGAAAAACATACTACCCTTCTGCGGTAAGTCGGGTAAAAACACAGTTTTCAAATCTCGATTTGATTTGAAAATTGTATGAATGTATGCACCTAGTTACAAAATAAACTGAATTTCTGCAACATGTATTGAAATGTATAGTTTAGAATTATTGTTTTTAATTTACATATTGTTAGTTTAAAAGCACCAAGATATCTTAGTGACAACATCAAAAATGCTAACAACAACGTACAGCTGTCATCTTTCTTACAAAAATTCTTAGCATTACAATTTATAACCACTAACCTTACACTGAGGTATAAAAATATATTTTCCTACAATTGTGCTTATAAAGTTTTGTGTAAACATCTTAAAATTTATAAAAAACACAGTCTAATTTAATGACTACGTCCTACTAGCCTGATTTGTTCATCAAATGATTTGACAAACATTTCACCAACTTTTTTTTATAGAATATTGGTGACAAACGAGCACACAGTCCACAGTAAGGTAAGTGGATGCTGTCGCCCACATACATCTATCTTGGGTTAAGAATCAAAATGCAGATGTGTTGTCACCCGTGAGGACTGAGATGGAACGTCTCGTTTCCAGTAAAAAAGGTCTCCGGTTCGCTACACTCACCAAATGAAACAGCAGTGTTAAGCTGCCATTTTACGCTGGTGAGAGTGTGGTCCTACCACAGTGGTGGTAAATGAATGCTGTGGCACTCTGTGGAACGGTGAACGGTCATAATCTTCACAGTCTATCAAACTCCCACTTCTGAACATTGACCTCCCCCAATACACGTCCTCATAGGGGGGATATTTGCCACAGTTGTTACACTTGGCTACCGCAGAGTATTAAAACCGACTTCAAAGGAGGAGGTTCTCAATTCGACTGTATGTTTTTTTAATGTGTGTTACCGCATAACTTGTAGTCCCATGATCAAGGTCGGACCAATAGTTTTTGAGTTATCCTTAATAATTTATATTGAAGTCGGTTTTACAAACTTTTTAATTTTACCACTTCTTCTAAAAACAACTACTTGACTGCTATAACAAGAAAGTACTACCAAGAAGGTTAATAGTATAAAGGTTTTAAAAATAGTATTTCCAAAAATCAATCAGTCTAAATATAATGCATTCATCACATTTTTTTATAAATTCAAAGTTCTTAATCATTTTAAATTTGATAAATTTGTTAATTGGGTACTGGAAGAACTTCAACAGGATATGTCAAAAAATGTCAATTTGACAACTGTCACATTAACAGGTCTCTTTCTAAATTGAAAGGTCAGTCATATTTGTACATACTTTTTGCTGAAATTGCCATTTACTCTATTTTCATATAATTTCGTCGACATATGCATCACACAAATCAAATCTAAAACACGTATTTGGCCTTTCTTCTAATTGAATCGTTCTAATTGATCCTATATTGCACAGCAAGTTGCCACTTTTTAGGTTTTTACATCATATTTAATTTTAATATGCTAGATATATATTTTATAGTGCTCGTTAAAAATATATATAAAAACGAACAAAAGTACATTTATCTAAATATTTTATTAAAAGACATCTATACAAATAAATAAAATTGGAGTGTCTGTTTGTAATATCAAAATTACAGCTTTTTCTAAATGCATATGAAATTAAATACGGTTCTTATAACTCAAATACAATTTTTTAAATTTTTGTCTGCCTGTCTGTCTGTTTGTTCCGGCTAATCTCCGAAACGGCTGGACCGATTTTGACGAGACTTTCACTGGCAGATAGTCATAAGGAGTAACTTGGCTACTTTTATTTTAGAAAAATAATTAGGGTTCCGTGCAAAACAATAAAACCCTAACACGCGAGCGAAGTCGCGGGAAACAGCTAGTTTTATATAATATTGAGAAAAGGACTGAAAATTTGGCTCGGAGTAAAATACTATTTTATCAATTTTTATTTTATTTTACTATTTTAACCCGGGTTCGATTCCCGCAGCACCAATGAAATTCTATTTAAATATAATAATATAATTCTATTATAAAACTGCGGTTACCAAGTGTGGTAACCATGGCAAATATTCCCCCTTTGCAACAATCTTTGGGCAGGCCTATTTTCAACAGTGGACGCGAAGATACAGTTGTAACGTAGAAGTTTTTACCAAAACATCTCTCAGAGTTAGATATGAGTTGATAAACACATTATATTTTCACTTTTAAATCTATGGAAGGTTTTTTATGAAGCTCACTGAACAATTAACTGCACTGGATTCTAAACCTTATCTAATAGCTAATAAGGACTTGTTGGACTTGATAGCTGCCCGCAGTTTCTTCACCAAAGCTGCCGGTTGTATGAGCACAGAAACTTCAGTTCCGTGTAAACTCAGTCTGTTCATTTCTTCTTCACCGCCCTGGAAAATATATGTAATAATTATGTTCTTCAGGCCAAACTTCAGTCACGGTGGCCAGTCTCGGTGGAGACTGCACATCTGAACAATGCCTTGGTGTTTTTAGGGTTTCGTACCCAGAGAGGAAGTCTGTCCGTACGCCCGTCTGTCTGTCTGTCAGTAGGCTGTATCACATGATCCGTAACAGTTGAAATTTTTACAAAATGCGTATTTATGTAGCCGCTATAACAACAAATAATAAAAATAAAAATAAATTAAAAATTAAAGGGGGGTTCCTCTATTAGAAATGTGTTTTACGATGGTACGGAATCCTTCATGCGCGAGTGCGACTCGCACTTAACCGGCTATTTTTAATGAAATGGATAAAATGATAAGATAAATAGTCGTTGATGGTTTTTTAAAATATCTTTTTTTACGTGGTAGAGCCATGCTGCTGCTATATTACTGGTATAGTTGTAGCACGAATGGGTCGGCTCGACCGGGGAAGGACCACGCTCTCACAGAATACCAGCGTATAATAGCAGCTTAATGCTGCTGTGTTTTGTATGGTGAGTGTAGAGAACCGGAGATCCTTTTCACTGGAAACGAGGCATGATGGCATCTCCATTTTGATTCGTAATTGAGTGTGGACAGTGGACTTCGATAGGCTTGTACTGAATGATGTAAATATAAACTTTAATCTGTACAAATAAATAAGATTGAGGCATCTGTTTGTAATATTAAAATAACATCTTTTCATTAAATGCATATATATGCAAGTATATGCGGTACTTATAATAAAAAACTATTTTAAAAAATTTTGTGTGTCTGTTTGTTCCGGCTAATCTCTGAAATAGTGGGACTTTCACTGGCAGATAGCTGATGTTATAACAAGTAATTTAGACTACTGTTATTTTAGAAAAATAATTAGTATCGCGCAAAAAAAAAAATTAAAACCTATGAAATCTAATGGTAATAAATTCAACGCGGACGAAGTAGCGGGAAACAGCTACTGTATATATAAGTGAAATACCACTGACTCTTCACGGTATCTTTAAAACAATACATCCGATTGACTTGAAATTTAGTATAGTTTCTTACTCATTTCGCAATGTAGACGGTTCACTAAGAACGGATTTTACGATAGTCCCATTAAAAATAAAATTATAAATTCCGCAATAAAATATTATAGTTGGCCCAGCGAAACGAGCGGGTATCGGCTAGTGTTTTATATAATAGCTTGATATGGCGGTGTTGAAGTCAGGGGCGTAGCTACCGCCGTATTAATGATACGGGGCCCCCAGGCTACAAAGGCCTCGAACATATGTAAGCAAAAATTCTAAGGACTTCTATGGGATCCTCATTCTATGGGATCCTGGGAGTATTAATTGTAAGAAATAAGTTATAATTAATATATAATTGTTTTAATTCAAGGCGAGAGTTTTTGTTCATTTTGTGAAAAATCTTTACCCTTTATATGGGCCCCCCGACAAATGTTGATACATGATCAAAGGCACGCTATTCCACTGGTTGAAGTAGTAAGTTAGAAATGCTCGCCTTTATCAAGTCGAGGGCGCGGTTGTTGACCTCGGTGACGGCCCAGCGGCCGGCGGGGGGAATCCCCGCGCGCGCCGCACCGCACCCGCCCGCCACCGCCGTCACCACGCACTCGCCGTCCAGCTTTATACCTGCAGGGCAACCACCCACATCACGCCTGATAACATTACACTCACCAGATGTCGCTAGTTGGGACGTGAACTTTTTTTTATAGAATAATGGTGACAAACGAGCTATTTTAACTCTTCAATTCCCAGTGTCACCTGTAGTTGACAGATGTTTAACATTTTTTTTTCTACCATATGATAAATTTTTTGTTCTTACCATTATTACTACAAAGGTAATTAGTCATTAAAGAACAATGGCATACTTTCATACATAAAATTAGTTGAGAAAGAATGGTAGCGTAAAATGATAAACATCAGTCCCTTAATAACTCTGTCAAAGAATTTTGTCTTAAGAAAGCGTCAAAAAAAAAAGATATTTAGATTTGAACCTTTCTAGATTATGTCTTATATCACTTGGAAAAAGTCATGCCTCCTGTGGTTGTCTGATGTTAGCTTAATACATAATACATAATTGAAAGTTTTTAGATTATTGTATCTCTATTATATATTTGCATACTATAAATGTATATTTCTGGCATGGCTCCAGGGCCTTTGTGTCATACAGTAACATTCTCAAAAGGACTAGAACCTAGAGCCGTAAAGCCAATAAAAAAAACAATGACATTTTGTTTTAGCTGTTGTTGCCATAACATTAATTTTTACATAGTACTATAATTGAGATAATTTATTATTGTAGGAAGTTCTTTGCAAGAGATTTATTTTCAATCATATCACATTTATTTTTATTATTACTGATAGTATAGTTATTACTAATAATAACTTAATATAAAAATGTTTTGTGTGTTGTGTTGGTAGTCTTACAAAGAGTATACAAAAATAGTATGAATATAGTAAATGGCAACACTTAAATAAAGTAAAATGATTTAAGTCATTTGATATTCCCAAAAATGTTTTGTTTTATTCTGTGGCTTTAATTAAAATATATTTTTATTTAAAAAATCATAGAAAAACAATAAAACTCGTTTTATATATAACTTATTTCTAGACGCAATAATTTTTGTCAGATATTTTTCTGCCATTGTTCTTTATTGTTATTTTATTTCAACACTAACTAAACGTCATTTCAAAAATCATTAAATTCATTCGCGCATATTTGGAGTTTTCTGAGTATGTAAGTGTGATTTCTTGCAATATAAGTTGAGATAAAAATGTCCACATCGTAATTATTGTTATTTTTCTTACTGCACGTGATTAATGAATATATTAGCTATATTATTAATGATATTCAAAATTAAAATAACGTATACTATACTCATTACAATGCCAAAATATGACTTGTCACCTGTGGGTGACACTGGGCATTATTTATTATCACAACTATTGGTTTCTTATGGATTGATTTGTAGTGGTGGAAGGTATTTTGGAGCATGTTTATGTCTTACGGGTTTACATTAGATAAGTTTGCTGAGAAGTTGCAAGTCGATGAAGACCTATTTTTCTTCCGATGATGGTATGGTAACTGACGAAGACAGTGGGGATGAAAACGAATCAAATATCTTCCTAATTGTATGCTTCAGTCCCAAGTAAAACTACAAAGTAGACCTTGTGCATGGGCATGGGAATTAAAGAGTTAATATAACTTTGCTCACAATCTTTTGAACAATTTGAAAAATCCTTTTATCACATTTATCATATTAGATTTGAGTATTATTTATTTATATATCCTTTATCGCATCACATCTTCAACCAGGGCGGACTAAATGCCCTATGACATTCTCTACCAGTAAAGACTGAGAAAGATGGAATAAATAATGACATTGATGTGCAAATTAAGGATTAAAGAAACTTGGAAAGAAAGACAGTTAAAGTATTAATTCCTATTCTACCTAAATACATTATATAAATATGACATATAAAATACACATATAAAACGTTGAAATCCATGAATTGTTGTTTACCTCTAAATAACGTTGTCGCATCAATCTTTTAACCAATTATAATACTAAATAGTTTGGAAAATCCAAAAGTGCACGCGTCATGAGCGTTTCATTTAATTTTGATGAAAAAAAATATTGTATTCCTGTCAAAATATATTATATGTGTTTAAATTTGGCGCTCTATTATTTTAACAAGTAGTGTCACCTATAGGGAAAAAAAATTAAGAATGTTCACCAAAATAAATCGATTACGCAAATTATAAAATCGATATAGGCTGTATGGTACCTTTGTCCTTTGTCTATGAAGGGTTAAAAAAAATATGAAAGCGCCTTGAATTTTTTTAATAGCAATAAGACTTGAAAATAATTTAACAAACTACGCGTAGTAGGATATTGATATGGAATAGGGAAGTAATTTTGAAGCTAATAGAAAAACCGGTCTCGATACGTCAATTTTTTGAGTTATCGTGATCACATACAAAATTAACATTTTTAGAAAATATAAAATGTAATAATTCGAGTGTTTTATTGATATCGCCTACTTATATTATCGTATAAGTACAATATGGTTATGACCTTATGACTTATAATAGAAGAATTTTAGGAATACAAAATTGCATGACCTTGACGTGTTGAGTAATGCACTACCTAATAACGCTTCGCGTTATGTAATTATACTTGACTCTCTATACCCTTTAGACCGGAACAGAGCAGTGCAAGCACTAATTAGGCAGCAGAAATAGATAAGACGATGGTATCTACTCGGACGGATTTATAGGTAGGTAGAAAAGAATTGTTAGCACCTAGTATGTGCTCGGTGGGACCGACATGTCTAAGAAATATTTTTAGAGACATGTGAAATACGCTTGGATATAAAATATCAATGTATCGATATTTACTCATAAAAATATTGATTTCACGATTATCAACATATATCGATATTCGATATTTATTATATATCGGGTATCGAATTCGCATCAATGTCGACATATTTTAAAATGCTGTATAAATCGACAAACATTAAGCTACAAAAGCAGCTACAAAAGCATTCAAGTGCTGTTGTCATTTTTTTCCGTCGTCGTACAGTAATGAAATTTTGGGCCTTTTCCTATTACATCATGGAAAACATGACGATATATCGATATCTATTACGCAATATTTATCGCTACTGTTTTAAAATATCGATATGATATTTTTAGATATATTGTGTTCCCTTGCCCATCCCTAATGTGAGATCCGCTAACATTGATTGGAGCAGCACAGCTGACTACTTTTTTCCTAACTATAAATACTCACCTATGCTCTCCCGATCCCGCTTGCTTATGACATAGATCTTTCCGAGCGGCACCCGATGAAATAATATGTCAACCTGAAATCAAATAAATAACGAAAATTAATTAATTCTTGATATCCACTACTCCATATAGTCTAGTAAGAGGCGACAGAGGAAAACCAACCAGGAGATGGGCAGCAGTGTCTTCCTAAAGTTAACAACCAAGCCACCTGCCAAACATGGTAAGGCAACTATAGCAAATATCCCCCCCCCCCCCTATGAGGAAATCTATGTTCGACAGTGCTTCTCTTTACTCTGCCGTTTCTAAAATATTCAACATCTTGTTATATTAGTACTTTTTATAACATTAGGGATGTAGCTTATGGTGGGTGGACGCTACCTACGATATCTACATTTATCATCAATTGAAAATTGCGCTGACACCCACTGAGGACTAAGTTCGAATGCCTCGTTTCCAGTAAAAAGGGTCTCCGGTTCTCTACACGCATCAAACGAAACACAGCAGCATTAAGCTGCCATTTTACGCTGGTGAGCGTGAGGTAAGTAGATGCTCTGGCACTCTGTGGAATTCCTGTCCATCGAAAAGTTGGTGAACAGTCATCATCTTTACAGCCTATCAAAGCCCATAGCTGAACACAGGCCTCCCTAATAGATGTCCTATAGAATGCCTTGTTCCTAGTGATAAGTCTCCGGTTCACTACTCACCATATGAAACACAGCACCATTGTGATGTCATTTAAGTGTTCTGTGCGAGCGTAATCCCTCCCCGTTTGAGATGAGCCGTCCGTATTGAAGTCATTATATAGCTGCAAAGTCAGTCTACCACAAAGGTCACAGATGTGTGTGATGATCAGTGTTTCTTAGGACTATGATGGATCACCTAATAACCTGTAACAACACTGGCTCTGTGTCCCTTTAACCAAAAACAGCAGTAAGTAGCACTGTTGTTTTGCGTTAGAAGCAGATACCTGGACGGACTTATGCACGAAGAAAAGGAGCTTTACCAGTTACCATCTATAAAGGCGTAGCTAAATAGGGTCACACCTCCTCCCCCCCCCCCCCCTCTCGTCCTAGTAAAATCTAGTGCCCACCCTGAAAACTATCTACTTTCTTTAACCGCCTGTAGAAGTATTCAGCCGGACATGAGCCTCTCCCGTTGCAAGGCCTTAATTGCGACACTTGGGACATCTGGGAATTTTACGTCTGGCGTAATCGAGAAGGGTATACTGTACTATCTACGCCAAGCATGCAGCCTTTTGATCTGCATGTGTTGCATACGAGTTGTATTGGGCCCACCACGCCACGCTTCTCTAAGCAATGCGTCATGTGGTGCCACAATAGGTCGGCCAATGAGAAGACCGATCACACAAGACAATGAGACTTGTTGTTTTTATCGCCGACCTGTTTACGCGGTCACTCAAATTCCAACCAGCCTACTGTATACACTTGATTATTTTGTAAAAATTAATATTCCAATAACTAATAAATTATTTTTATTCGCCTTCTTTGTATTTCTTGTTCTATCAAGAACACTGTCATTTATCGGAAACCAATAAAAACTTTTGGCATATCCCATAGACGATCTTACGATACCCACGCGATATATGAGGCATATTCTCTTAACAAGACAACCTGAAAAAAAACTGTGGTTGCCAACCCGCTTACCAAGCATGGCAACTATGGCAAATAGTTGCCTCATAGGGGGAACCCTATGAGGCAATCTATGAGGGAGGCCTATGTTCAGCAGTTGACTGTAACAGAACCGATATCCACTACCCCATAAAAATGCAAATTTATATATTTAATAACAATTGCTACAGATAAGCAAAATGACTCACGAGTGGAGTGTGAGCAGACTTCAGGAGCAACCTTGCGTGCGCCGCATTAGTAGGTTGCGTCCCGGCCAGCGCTGCCACTCTATCTCCCGTGCGTCCTCCACAACGAGTGCCATTCACACCCCAACGGGCGATCCTGAAAATTTTAACACTGTTTAAACATTGCTAGGTATTAATGCACACTTTGCATAAACCACCTCGAAATGTTCACATCGGAGGGTTGGGCTTTACTGTCTAACTCATAAAACCGGATTTATTGTTTGGTAGAGCCACGCTGCAGCTATTTAATGGTTGTAGCACGAGTGGGACGGCTGCAACATCTAAGTCGGAGGGTTGGGCTTTACTGTCTAACTCATAAAACCGGATTTATTGTTTGGTAGAGCCACGCTGCAGCTATTTAATGGTTGTAGCACGAGTGGGACGGCTGCAACATCTAAGTCGGAGGGTTGGGCTTTACTGTCTAACTCATAAAACCGGATTTATTGTTTGGTAGAGCCACGCTGCAGCTATTTAATGGTTGTAGCACGAGTGGGACGGCTGCAACATCTAAGTCGGAGGGTTGGGCTTTACTGTCTAACTCATAAAACCGGATTTATTGTTTGGTAGAGCCACGCTGCAGCTATTTAATGGTTGTAGCACGAGTGGGACGGCTGCAACATCTAAGTCGGAGGGTTGGGCTTTACTGTCTAACTCATAAAACCGGATTTATTGTTTGGTAGAGCTACGCTGCAGCTATTTCATAGTTGTAGCACGAGTGGGACGGCTGCACCATCTAAGTATCTCAAGCATATTTCCATTAATAGCTAAAAATAATAAAAATCTGCAGTTAACAACCTGTCTATGGAACAATCAATCTATGTGGTAGTATGTAGGCCATGTTCAGCAGTGGACTTTGTGTAGGCTGTTATGATTGAATGCATGAAATGAAAAATAAATCATTAAATCATTATGACTCATGCTTTTAAAATACTTTATATTAAATGGTATAAAAAATTATAATGTAATCGCCAAGAAAAAATATTGACGTTTGAGTTCTCGTTGTTTTCAGCGATAACTATACAATATTTTTCAATAATATGAAAGGCATGTTATTGAATTACATTCTTAAACAGCTTCATTTTTATTTAGATATCTTTTACTTCCGGTAATAAACAGAAACGTTTTAAATAAAGTAACTTTTTGTCATTGAATGTCATACACTTACTTTGTGCTGGACAAAATTATTTATGCAGTGGAGAAGGGAGCGCTACAAGCCAGTCGGAAATCCTCGCCTTAAGACAAATTAGGCTTCGGAAAACAAACCTCGATATTTTTTCACAATATTATCGATATTTATCGTCGATATTTTTAAACGCGATTTATCGATATTTATTTTAGAGTATTGAATTCGTATCAATTTCGATATATTTTAAAATAATATATTTATTAAATAATTTAATAGACAATTTAATTTATTACACATTTTTCATTTTATTCAATTAATGATTTGCATGAAAACCCCTTTTCTACTGACTTCAAAAAGGAACCGGTACTCAATTCGACTGTGTATTTTTTATGTCTATTACATCATAACTTTGCTCTACGTGAATTTTGATGATTATTTTTTTATTTGAAAGCTGGTGCTTCTCATGTCGTCCCATATTTTTGATCAAGGTCTGACCGGTAGTTTTTGATTTATTCTTAATAATTTATTATGAAGTCGGTTGTACAAAGTTTTTAATGATAAATTTAGCAAGCAGGCATATATCGATACGAAAATAATATATTACAAGTATATACTCACGCACCAGACCTGTCGTTCGTAGTCGACGAATATGGGAGGGTCCCTGACGGAGAGCGAGGTCGCCACCGCGGCGCCGCGCCGTTGCTCCGCACGCAAAGCTGCGGCCTGCCGCGCGCGAAGTGGCGCCATCATACACGCGTTCGGAGCAACGTTGCTCACTTGACGCCCGGGCGAATGACCTGACGACAAGCAAGTTATCATCGCAAGGCACAAATGGAATTTTGGCGGGTACTTGATCTCCAGCAGATTGCATTGATTGTATTATTGTTTAAATAATGATTTCAAATTGGATTTTGATGTCGACCTTTAGGACACGATCTATGTTAAATGCAAAATATATTTTTTTTATAGAAGGGCTATATTCGACCACGCAGTCCATATAAAGCTTAAGGATGCCGCGACCTATAAAAACTTACATCTAAAATCGATTTTATAGATGTGTAGAAGTAAGACTTTCTGTCCAGGGGTCTTTTTATTATATGATAGCGTGATAACCGAGCACACAGTCCACCTGATGGTAAGTGGTTGCTGTGACCCATAGACATCTACATCTATCCTCGATTACGAATCAAAATGCAGATGCGTTGTCAGCCGTGAGGACTAAGATGTAATGCGTCGTTTCCAATAAAAGGGGTTTCCGGTTCTCTACACTCACCATACGAAACACAGCTACGTTATACTGCTATTTTACGCTGGTATTCTGTGAGAGCGTGGTCGTTCCCCGTTCGAGGCGACCCATTCGTGCTGCAACTATACAATTAATATAGCTACAGCATCGCTCTACCAGATACAAAGTCTGCCTGGATAATTTCCAACCTTCTTACGTAATTCTAATGCTAAGCAGTGCCAGCACTACCTGTCTAAAGGGTATAAATAGAGAGCCAGTAAAATTACAGGCGGTGAGGTATTTCATCTTAGTTCTAGAGGTTTGGTCACCTCTCACACCTGCAACTTTCTTTGTTTGAAGCTGGCTGCTGGTGACCATAGAATGCGGTAACCGCCCACCATTAGGTGGACTGTGAGTCCATTTACAGTTTGATTACACTTAGTAATGAGGGCATCCACGACTTTTTCTACCACCAGGGCGGCGCCACTTTACAGTGAGGTAAAATATTTCACAGATTTCATAGCGGGGACGATAATTTCTTAAGAAAATGTAATCTTTAAGGTCTCTTTCTGAATTATTAGTTATATTTTATATTAATTACATTAGAAATGAATAAACCAAACTATAAATATAACTAAAAGCCGATTTTAAAAAAAAGTTATAAAGTGCAAAAACTTTAAATCAAACCATTATGTTGTGTATTAATATAATGCTCTAGATAATGATAAACTATTATTTAGAACTAATTTCCCAATTAACTGACACTGTGTTCCAAAAAACTTTACCTCAGTCACAACTAGCGACATCTGGTGGGTGGAAGATTATTAGTCCTCATTGAGTTATATGTACTACGTACTAGAGAAGCTATTCCAAACAAAAGATGTGCGCTACTCTATGTCTTCGCGCATGCGCGGGAGATAGTAGAGCCGCGCATGCGCAGTTGATACATTATTACCTATTTATTCACTTGAACAACAAATAATTTTACTTACTTAACCACTGAATAGTTATTTACGTTCAGGTTTAAACTTTCATTTGAAATCTTGTATTATTAGCGTCGCTCCACACTGCATGAATATTGAAGCCACACTTAGTCCCTTCGTACACGGCGTCGTACCGTAACCGTATCGTAATACGCGCGTAGGACGAGAGCCATACGAGCGCGAACATTGTCATACAAGGAAGCGGTGCTGCAGCGAATTGTAGAAGATATTTATTGTCATTACGATAGTCATAGTGTACTGGCGTAAAAAATTAAATTTTAATTTTAATTTTTTTATCTTCTTGTTTGAACATGTACGCGCTCGTATGGCTCTCGTCCTACGCGCGTATTACGATACGCTTACGATACGACGCCGTGTGCGAAGGGGCTTAATGACACTAAAGTATTCATAACGTGTACGGATTGCAGTACAGTTCAGTTGAACACAGTGAATGTTCGGAATGCGAAATCTAGTGCGCAGTACATATATATCGATGTAGTTAGTTTACTCTTTCTAAACGTTTTGATATTTAATTGTATATTTTTTTTAATGGCCCATTTTACTACTGGTTCTTCTTCTCGGGAGAGAAATTTTTGTAGATATGAAAGTGATGAAAATAATATATAGGAAATACTAAAGCACACGAAACAGGCAAGCAGTTAATTGTACTTCACGAAAAGTTTACCGTCATTATAGGTGCCGAATAGAATTAATAAAAAACCGGCAAGCGCGAGTCAGACTCGCGTATGAAGAGTTCCGTACCATCGTAAAACACGTTTCTAGTAGGGGAGCCCTTTTTATTTTTTATTTATTAATTTTTATTATTTGTTGTGATAGCGGCAACCAACAAGCAAATACAAAGAGGAGATGGTATAAGCAACTGTGCACTGTGATTCTAACTAAGTGCTGACGTCATCACAGTGTCAGCGTTCGTCCTGTGCGCTTATGTGTCGAAAATCCCAAACTGGTGTATTTTCGTAGTATTAAGAGGAAAAGTATGAAGTGTTGTGTTTAATCGTGTAAAAACTACTCAGATAGACGCTTTGATGCTATGAATGGCATCACATTTCATTTGTAAGTAATTTTATACCTAATTTATTAAAAAGGTTCTAGAAAAATCTCTGCGTCGGCTTTCAAATGTAATTAAATATATTCGACACTAGATGACGATATTTTGTGTCATGGGGACTAAAAATATAATGGTACATGAGCTCAATATTGATAAAATAATCATATGAAGGTGTTGAAATTTGTTTTACATGCAGTCCTAAAGAATTTTTAATCGCCAAAATATTATTTTTATAGTTTTTATAATAATTTTGTGCCGCAATCATTTTGGGCCGCCATCTATCGTCAAGGTAGCTAAACTACTTTGCAACATCGGTATGGAACGATGCGAGTAGCGTTACTATTTATCAGTAGATGGAAAACAGTAAAGTAAGCGGGGCTTCACATACCCTCACCCCTCAAATTGTCACGCGTTGTTACATACTGAAATCTGATTACAACACCTCTTTGTATTTGCTCCGTGGCGGCAACAGTAATATACACATTCTGTGAAAATTTCAACTGCCTACCTATTACAGATAGGTTCTGTGTGTTGACATACTTCACATGTATTCGAAATACTTGAAGTAAGATGTGCAAGGTTTTTATATTAAAATTTGGATAGTGATACCATTACTGAGGGAACTGCTTCTTCGCCTACTGCTGTCGACTCTTCCTTGAGGTCTGGATCTATGGATCACCTTTACAGGCGACGTCATACTCCTGAAAAAAAAATATATTGTGAATTTTACTTTACTTTAAAACACTATTACTATATTTAGGCCGGCCACATACATACGGAATTCCGAGATTTCGTTTCGATATTCCGATTCGGGATTCCGAACGCAGCAAGTCCATATAAAATCTATGACCCGCCACACACGTACGTTATTTTTCCGTACGGAATTTCTCCGATTCGAGATTCCGTATGACCGCCTGTGCGTTCGGGATCCCGAACGGAAAAAAGCCGCTCCGAACGCACGTCTTCCATAGATTTTGTACGAGTCGCAACACACATACGTAAATTCCGTACGGAACGTGCTCAGTGTTCGTCGCACGACCGAAGCGAGTAGGTGTATTTATGTATGTTTTTACATTTAATCTTGTAGGTGTATAGCTTTTCGTAACCTTTCACCTTATTTTATTTAATAATTCGTCGATAGAATTTACATACATAAATATTTAAAAAATATCTCTGGATAGATAGATCTTTTTACATAGTATTGACTATATTGCAAGCTTAGGGTGATAAGGGGATGCACCTAGTAAGAATGATACAGCAACAATGGAATTTGCAATTAGAAAATCGTCGTCATTATTCGCTGGCAAAATGTCTAGACGCAATGGCTAACGTCTCTCAACTGACCCTTGTTATTCCAAACGAAAAAAAAAACGTGTGTGTGTGATGTATTCACGGAATCCCGATTCGGGATTCCGAAACGGAATCACGAAACGGAATTCCGTATGTATGTGGCCGGCCTTAGTTGGAGAGATGAGATTGTACTTAACTCAAAAAAAAACCTTCTAGTTAAGGACAATAATATTATGAATATTATATTTAGAAAATATTTTGTAAATGTATCTATTAGCACATACACCTGAGATACAGGTTTATCCTAGTTCAGGTGCCTGTTATTGTAGACTATTTCAAATTAAGCCATTGTTAGAATTAATTGCACAGTTTACTGAAATAAAAATTAAATTAAAAAAGTACATATGTAATAAGACAATATAATATATACTATATTAATTGGAAAAATTGCAATTAACAATTTCATAGGTGCTGGCTGGGATCGAACCAGGGTTGCTCGCGTACTGTGAAATTTACAGTGAACTCTTAACGCAGCTAACATGGCTCATCATTCTCTTATAACAAAAAAACTAGTGGTCGCCTAGTGATCGAAACTCAACTATATTTTTTTTTAAGTTGGTATATTGAGCAAGCAATATTTCGCTTTAAACTGCATATAATACTAATGATAAAGACTCGCTGCCCGCGGTGCAATAAAAGGAATGATTAAAGGCTCTGAGGAATTGTTCGGATTAATCCCAGCCGCCAAATTTCACGAACGCACATCGCGGCAGAACTCCCGATACCATCCACACCATCTGGATGATTGGCGGTCCACCACTGTGCGATTTAGAAGATGTTTTCTTCCTCGCACGACTTCCTTGTGGAATTGATTACCACCAGCGAATTTTCCCGACCGATACGACCTTCAAGAAAAGATCCTACTCCTTTTTAAAAGGCCGGCAACGCATCTGCAATTCCCCTGGTTTCCTTGGTGTTGCAGTTGTTCATAGGCGGCGGTAGTCACTTACCATCAGGTGAGCCGCATGCTCGTTTGCCCCCTCTCCTATAAAAAAAGGGAAAACAGGACGCCACAAGTTGCGCTTTGCGTTCTCTGTCGCACGTACGGGCCTTATGGCAGGTCGAAGTGCGACAGAGAGTGCAACAGGTGGAGGCTTGTTTCCCATTTTATTGCACCGTGGGCAGCGAGTCTTTAACATTAGTATAATATACAGGTTGTCCCAAAAGTCGACGTCAAGCCGGAATCGGGTGATAGGACAAATCATAATAGTTACCAGAAAAATATTAAGAAAAATCTTAGTCATTCATCATTCATCTGTTTTTTAAATTACAGTAATTTCTTTTTCTTTTTTTGAAAAATGTAGTCTGTGATGGTTTTTTAGCTCCTTTAGCTACAAATCTTGACGTTTTTTTCGATTCTTTTTTGTCTAATCTTGGGTAGTGTTTGTGTAACCTGTTGTTTTTAATTCTTAGCAATTGCTCCAACTCAGAAGAAAATGTCACTTTTATCCGAACCAAGAATGAAAAATTAATACTTCGCCCAACTTTAACTGACTGTACTGAAAAAAAATGTACTAAGCCAGTTTAGCAAGTAACCTTAAAAGTTGAAGCATTTAGTAAGGATTCTAAAGTGGTATAGCACTTGCTACATTATTTCTTAGATTACAAGAAAAAAAAATTCTTCAAGAATGCCAGTTTTGATAAAATTCTCTTTAACTACTAAAAAATGATTTTAGTGTAACCAAAGCTTGCCATGAGAGTAACTATGATTCTAGTTTGAGTGAGAGGAAGAATCAATCCATGAAGTGTGGGTGAGACAGATTTATTTTTCTGGTAACTATAATGATTTGTCCTATCACCCGATTCCAGCTTGACGTCGACTTTTGGAACAGCCTGTATAAAACACAGATATTTAATATAAAAAATAACCGCTTTTGTCTTTGACTCCACTTCCACAGACAATTGAAAACACAAAATTAATTAAAACATTTTTAGCAACATTTTGAAATTCTTTGGTAAAATCTCGTACTCTGTGCGACTATTTGACTATAGACTAATATGTTTGACAATGAGGGCATCCATGATTTTTCTGCCACCAGGGCGGCGCTACTTAGGAATCAGATGAAATATTTCACAGAATTCATAGCAGCAGTTAATTTGTTAGAAAAATGTAGAGATTAATGTTTCTCTCTGAAATATTAATTGTATTTTTTGTTAATTATATTAGAAATGGATAAAAGAAACTATGGATGTTCCGAAAAGTTGAATAATTATAGTTTAAAATATAAAAAAATTAAAGAATTGCTGTATTATTTGGCATTTTTTTTTCTAAACTTACAATTAAGTTGCAACTTTTACGTTTTTTACGTGGTAGGGCCATGCTGCAGCTATATTAGTAGTATAGTTGTAGCACGAATGGGTCGGCTCGACCGGAGAAGGACCACGCTCTCACAGAAAACCAGCGTAAAATAGCAGCGTAACGCTGCTGTTTCGTATGGTGAGTGTAGAGAACCGGAGACCCCTTTTACTGGCAAAGAGCCATTCCATCTTAGTCCTCACACGGGGTGACAACGCATCTGCATCTTGATTCTTAATTGAAGATAGATGTAGATGTCTATGGGTCACAGTAACCACTTACCATCAGGTGGACTGTTTGCTCGTTTGTCATCTTATCCTATAAAAAAAAAACTTCTCAATAATGACGACACTGTGTGTTGTAATTAGTGCAAGCACCACTCCTTATGAGTAAATAAATTAAAAAAAGTGTGACCATCTGCATGACAACTAAGTTCACCTTATTACCCAACTAGCGACATCTGGTGAATGTAAGATAGTGACCCTGACAATGGAATGCCTCGTTTACAGTAAAAAGAATCTCCGATTCTCTGCACTCACCATATGAAACACAGCAGCGTTAACCTGCTATTTTACGCTGATATTCTGTGTCCCGGTCTAGCCGACATATCCATGCTACAATTAAACCAGTAATATAGCTGCAGCATGGCTCTACCACGTAAGAGATTTTTGCACTCCTTCCCCATGTAAACTTTATCTATGCCAAATCGCTTACAATTCCGTGCGCACAATATTCAAAAAAAGGTTACAAAGTTTTCCGTTTTCATATTAATATATAGATATCTGTATTTACTTAAAGGAAATATTCACCTGTCCCCACTGTCGTTCTCGTGTCGAGTGGGGCTCTCCTGCCGCTTGACCTGCCCCAGTCCCCGCAGTCGGCTCAAAAGTGACAGCTCGGTTAAGCCACGCTTCCAGATTGGTTTAGCCGGCACTTCAGTCTTTTCTATAAAGTAAGAATACATTATCATCATATGGTTTACGAATGAAGCAGAGAGATCAGGCGCAGGACCAACAATTTCACGTGCTTTCCGAGACACAGGGGTGAAACACTGCCAATCTTCCTGACCCTGGGCTGCAACTGATAATTTCTTGACAAAAAAAACACCCAATTCCTATCAGGGTACCTTATGATCAGCATTTGCGTTTATGCGACGGACAGAAAAACCCAATAACGGTTTCCGTGTGCGTCCGCGTCACCTATTTTGTGTGCTACCGTGGATGTCCTAAGTGGCGACAGAGGTAAACTGATACAGAATATAGGTAGCAACATTAACCTGGTAACAACTCAAACTCAATTGCAGTAAAATACAGCCAGTAGTTGACATTTAGATTCTACTAGCTGTTCTCCGCGACTTCGCCCGCGTGTAATTTAGAGTTTTAATTATGTTGCGCGGAACCCTATTACTTTTTCTACAATATAAGTAGCCTAAGTTACTCCTTATAACATCAGCTATCTGCCAGTGAAAATCCCGTCGAAATCGGTCCAGCCGTTTCGGAGATTAGCCGGAACAAACAGACAAAATTTTTAAAAGTTGTGGTTTTGTTATAAGTACCGTATATACTTTCATATGCATTTAGTAAAAAGCTGGTATTTTGACATTACAAACAGTCACTTCAATTTTATTTATTTGTATAGATTAGATATATAAAAATCTATACAACTTGTATAAGTGTCACACTAACTCATCTGCCCATTAATACAAAATCACCGACATAACTGCTCCCCATAAGGTTGACAAACAAGAATATATGTTAATAGGAAGTAGATTTATAGTGGTGAGTACAAAATATTATTTTTTTACCTATATTCTTTTTTTTCTTTTTTTTTTTTATAGGAGAGGGGGCAAACGAGCATGCGGCTCACCTGATGGTAAGTGACTACCGCCGCCCATGAACAACTGCAACACCAGGGGAATCGCAGATGCGTTGCCGGCCTTTTAAAAAGGAGTACGCTCTTTTCTTGAAGGTCCCTAAGTCGTATCGGTCCGGAAAAATCGCTGATGGTAATCGATTCCACAAGGAGGAATCGATTACCATTCAATCATTTACCTATCTTTTTTACATGGTAGAGCCAGGCTGAGCTATATTAGTATAGTTGTAGCACGAATGGGTCGGCTCGACTGGGTAAGGGCCACACTCTCACAGAAAACGAGGGTAAAATAGCATCTTAACGCTGCTGTGTTTCGTATGGTGAGTGTAGGGTACTGTAGATCCCTTTTACTGGAAACGAGGCATTCCATCTTAGTCTTCACGAGTGACAACGTATCTGAATTTTGATTCGTAATCAAAGATAGATATGTCTATGGGCCACAGCAACCACTTACCATCAGGTGGACTGTGTGCACGTTTGTCACCCTATCTTATAAAAATATCTTAATAAGTAATAGATCCCTCCCAGCCTAACTGAGACAAGTTGCTAATCTCTCTAATTCTAAAAAGTCTAATTGTATAAAAAGAACCATCAAGTTCTAATCTTTTTTACTGCCATTTGTCAGTCAAAGTATTTAATCTCTCATTCATTAGTTTCAAATCACACACCAGCGGGATAATTGAAGCTGGTTTTCTACAATTAGTACCACTAATAAAAAGCTGTAAAAATTAATGGGAATATCATACCTCAACATTACCACAGCCTAAGAGGAACATACAGTCAGTCATCGCGTTTGATGTTGTCGGAAAAGCCGACTAAAAGTCAGAATGGGAAGTAGTAAAAAAATAAAAAATGATTTTATTTTATTTCACGTTTAAACAGATTAAGTAATGTGTATTTGGAAACCGATGATACTAATTCCTTGTCTTTAAATGATGACGACCCATTGTTTTTTACTGCATGTGTAGTGTCAACCATTTTAATTTATTTGTGTGACAGTACAACCCTAGCGGACAATTGTATTGAAATTTTACAAACAGATAGAGAGCAATGCCATTAAGCATTTAAGTTATATTTTAACCGAAAAAAATTTTTTTTTCGCAAAAATAATGATAAGTTTTAAAAAAATGAGTTGTCTTAAAAAATCTAATTAACGCCACATTGAAATCCAGACAAAGCCGGGGCGGGTCGCCCATTAAAAATACATCCATTCAAATAATAGAGCCACTGTTAGTTAGATAAGTATAATATACTGACCTATTTTTGTTTCTCTCTTCGGACTGTTATTTTGCACTCTTCTAATTAAATTCTCCCTCAGCCTTGGCGCACTATCATAAGCGTTCTGACTTTGTGATCGCTCGACATTAGTCCTTATAACTCGCGAAATAGGATTCAAATTAGCACTCACTGACGTGTTTGTCACATTCACTTGTACATTTGATCTAGGAGTATCATTTAAGTTAGAATTGATTTCCGAACGTCCATTCACGATGCCCGGATTTGTATCCGAACGGTTTTGATTTAATGTTATATTAGTCGTGTTTCTAATATTATTATTATGATTGTTATGACTAGTGTTTGGAAATAAGCACTCGTAAGCCGATTCGGAAGTTAACTCCAAATTGGGCAGTGATGATTTCCTAATTTTGTCTATGCTTTTAATTTTTTTCACGGGCAGCGGCGACGTCTTGTCTGTGGATGTGGACGCCATGCAAAGCCTTTCGTATATACTGTCATCGGTTTTGACAGCTTCTCCTGTCAAGCTGACAGTTGTTGTGAGGCTTAGGTGACCATAATCAGTATTGCTCTTTGTGAAAACAGTCCCGTAGTCGTTTTTGTTCGAGTTCTGTACATCTATTTCTGTATTGACGATATTGACGAAACTTCGCGCGTCAGATTGACCCGTATCGGGGGTTATAGTCACTTCCTGTTGAAAGTTGAAGTTGAAGACGTCAGTTTCCGGTCCGAGGACCGGTATTGCGGTATGAGGTGGCCCTTTGTTTGACACTTGTATGACTGTGATGTTACTTCTCTGTGGTATACTGAAAATAAGATATTGTTTTATTAATTTAGATAGTATAATAATAATTATTTATTACACTAAAGGAATTTAATTGAGATATATTATAATAATTAAAAATTACGTGTAAGTGCCAACTCAAAATAATAATAAAAAAGACTGGTTGCCTTACAGCTCGCCAAACGTGGTAACTATGGCAAACATCCACCCCACCGCCCCTCCCATCCTGTAAGGCAATCTTTGGAGAAGGCCTATGTTCAGCAATGCACTTTTATAATTGGCTGTAATAGATGACACACAAGAAAATTAAAGTAAAAAATAGCGATGTCAATGTCAATGAGTTACCAACCTGTGTGATTTATCCACTTTGTTATTAGAAGACCCAGCCTCCCCATCATTACTTACAACAACCCTTTGAGTATACCCAACGGGCTCTTTCTCATTCACATTCAAACTCTCAACAGATTCGTGTATCCTATCAATTTCAGAGAAGAATTCCTCATCACTCTCGGTCACTTCTGACCGTTTCAAAATGGAATCATCTAGACAGATATTTTGTCCGCAGATCTTCGCAACACTCTTCTTAGGCTCCGCTTGGCTTGTGCTGGGTAAGGAAGTGGCCAGGTTATCCCAGTTGGATATGTCAACAGGTTCTTGAGCTTGTGGCGGGGCTTCGTTTGGTTCTGGATTCTCGATTGCAGGCTGTGCTGTTGGGGCCGGTTCGACTGCCGTGTCTGGTGCAGGACGGGGACTTTGGGTCGTCAGTTCAATTCCGGGTACTCTAAAGGAAAAAGAAACAAGTACAGTTCAGTTGCATGTGAGTTTAATTTAACATAGCACCCGTTTTCTTGTATTATCAAGGTGTAAAGCCTGGTTTAAACATGATTTTGACTCGATCAAATTGATACTTCTTGAAATAGTTTATGCTAGGAAAAAAAATGCGCATACATGAAATAATTAAATTCTTTATTCGATAAATATATATAATATATCGAAAAATATATGGTCAAAGCTTTGACCATATATTTTTCGATAACATGAAAGGCATGGTTGGATAAAAAATCGAAAAAATTCAATACCACTTAGATTCTTTATTTGCTGATAATAAGGTAATGTTTCAAGTAAAGTTACTATTTGTCCACCGAACGTCATACGCTTACGCATCCTGAAGAAATATGCATACAGGGAGAAGGGAGCACTAAACACCTTTTAACATAGGAAATCCTCACCTTAATGCAAATATTGTTATACAAAATAATTGTCTCTTTTTATATCTAGGGTTGTTTTTCAAAGAATAGCCAAAAATTAAACTTAAGTTGTTTAGTTACCGGGTGGTATTTAGGGGAGTTTGAGTTGACCTGAACTGCAGAAAGTGGGAATTTAAAATATAAGACCACAACTGCATACTGACCTCGGAGTCGATCCCCGATTCGATCTCGTTTATTAAAAATAAATCGCATAGACCTATTCAAATTGCGGAAGCCGAACGCTAACGACTTCCAATTCGAAGCCAACGCCATCTATCGAAGACGTTGGAAGCTTTACAAAATGTTAAGTTACAAACAAAGTTCAAATATATAAACAATGATATACCGTTATTGCAGTTTTTGAAAATACGACGAAATTGAATGTAATTTATGGACAACAACGTTTTTGGCTACTGATCAACCCTTATGAATGTATGCGTGCAATATAAAGTAATAAAGTAGTGCATTACCACGCATTTTGAAATGGAAAGATAAAAAGGACAAAATTATTGAGATTTTTTTTAATAAATTTTTCTTCACCATTGCCTATATTACTTAATCTAAACCTTCTCTGCAAATTTGCGCGGTTATTGCAAAATTACCTATTAGTGATATAATGACGGCTCCGTGGCGCAGTGGCTTAGCAATGAGTTACAACGCTGGCGGCCGCGGGTTCGAATCCCGCACGGAACGAGTATTTGTATGGCCTACAAATAATTGTTCCGGGTCTGGATGTTTGTCCTTGTGCGATTTATGTTTGTAAACTGCCCCCCACGATACAGGAGAAAATCCTAGAGTGGAGGTAACGTTTTTAAAAATATCAAAAAAAAAGGAATATTTCCATTTTGTGAATACTTAAAACATAACAACCTAAAAAAACATAGCTAGCATATTATTTATACCAAAATGAATAAACTTACCGATCAGGTGGTATTGGAGGGGTTGGCGGAAGTGGGGATGTGGGGTCCCTTGCTGCCGCGCGGGGAACAGGGGCTATTGGAGCAGCGCAGTATACATTCTCCCCTTTCGCAAGGATTTTTAACTCATGCAGTTTATTTCGGAGGGTTGATACCCAATCCTGCATTGAGTCCCTGGAAGATAGTTACAGTTGGTAAATGTTTTAAAGAAATCACAAATAGTAAAATCTCAGAAAAAATCTCCTAGGATGTGTTCAATCAAATACCATGTCATACCATAGTAACTAACTCTCTAATAACTTTACTTTTTGGTGTAATGCTCAGATAACTTTGTCTACGTTTTTTCATTACAAACAGTACAGTAGCCAATACTGAATATTGTTATTGTTGATTTAATTTTTAGGATAACATTTTATAACGTGGTAGAGCCATGCTGCAGCTATAATAGTAGTATAGTTGTAGCCCGAATGGGTCGGCTCAACTGGGGAAGGACCACGCTCTCACAGAATACCAGCTTAACACTGCTGTGTTTCATATGGTGAGTATAGAGAACCGGAGACCCTTTTTACTGGAAAAGAGGCATTCCATCTTAGTCCTCACGGGTGCCAATGCATCTGCATTTTGATTCTTTATCGAGGATAGATGTGCATGTCTATGGGTCACAGCAACCACTTACCATCAGGTGGACTGTGTGCTGGTTTGTCACCCTATCCTATAAAAAACAATACAAAAATGGTCAAATCCAAAAGAGAAAATAATATATCCAAAAGATAATATAATAAAAGAGTTAATTATTTTTAACTTGAAATTCTCGCACACCATTTATTTATTACTTGCAAAGGAGTCTACAAATTAAAGCAAATTAACAGACTATAACTTAGGCCCTACATAATTTTTTTTTATTTATTTTATTTATTTATATACAAGTTCCATCATTGCATTGGGACAATGTTTAGTGTTCAATGTGATGCTAGACTGTGTAAAGGCAGGCTTTATATTAGATGGATTAGACATACAAGGATCCTCAAGATGTTTTTGGTCACCACAGAGCTTGTGGTCAGGAAAGTTCTTTCTTAAAATTGCATTTAACATTACATACATACATTAATATCAGTGGGTGCTGGGTGGGTGGTGTAATTACAGGAAGTGCTTAGTCCAAAACTCTTCAGATAGAGATTGAACTTAACATACAATGTATACAATATCTTACCAGTCTGGAGCCAGCATCCTGACCGGCCCCTGATCTGTGTCAATCAGGAAGTCGTACTCATCGCCCACATGTGGCTTAACACTGGCTGTGACATGTCTGGCTGAACGCAAGCACACCCTCCATGCCGGTCTATGGGTAAGGGTTGTGGCTGAGTCTGGCTCGGGATATTGTTCTAAAAAGGGTATACGTCCATTGTGTACGCAAAATAATGTCCACATTGGTTTGAGTGGGGGTTTCTAAAAGGAAAATAAATAACATAATATTATAAAAGTTGTCTCTTTTAACTGAGCATGTCTGTCTTATAGTGTAGTGTAAGCGTCCCCCACACACAAGCGGCTTGCGGTGGCGGCTGACCGCGAGCCGCGCCTCCGGCCGCTGCAACAACACACCACCGCGGTCGCAGTGGCGGCCTGAAGTTCCATTTGCTGTGGAGTCTGTGCTACGATCGGACATCAGTCAACATGGCTAAGCGTCACAATGTCTTTTTATTCTTATTATATTCAGCAATATTATCCCATATTTTGTTTTTAATCCTAATGCTTTTGTAATCAAGGTGTGAAGTATCATAAAATACTTTATAATTTTGCACTGTTTCTATTAAAATTTCTGCATGTAGCGCCATTCTGCATGCGATACACGCGGCCTCTTTTAAAAATTTGCAACTGACCGCGTTGCGGCCACCGGCCACCGATAGAAGCCGCACGTTCGCTAACAGGCAGAGGGGGCGGGGCATGCGGCCGCGGCCAGCCGCTGGTAGGCCGCGACATGGCCGCACGGGTTTGCAGACTCACTTACATTACAAGCGAATACATCTGGTCGCCACCGCAAGCCGCTTCTGTGTGGGAGACGCTTTATGGGGCTTTAGGAATTTCTTGTGACTTGATACACTCATGTAAGATGGCAGGCTTTTTAAGACCTCAATTTTTTTGGCAAATTTTTGTAAATGTTATAGCCACATTTGTTTGAAGACAGTAATTTAGTAATAGATAGTATTGTAAGTGATGACTATGAGAAATGTCCGAAAATTTTATGCCAAGTTCTTCTTCTTATTTTTTTACGGTGGTTTTAACGTTTTAACGTTAGCCTGAAAGTGTTTATTACGTAGAATAGCCCAACAGATACAAGTACAATGTCCATGTATAAAAGAAGATTGTGATAATATAATTATCTTATTATTCTATAAATCATTTTTTTCTTTTTTTTAAATTGTAATGATTGTACAATTGAATTACAAATGACAAACACAAGTGTTATAGCTACATAAAAAAAAGAAAAAACTCGTTAGAATCGGTGCAAACTCTGTAGTACACGTGCGGTCTGGCCCACTCGACATGTGTATGTCTAGGGAGAGGAGTGCTTTACGAACCGAGCGCTGTGTGAACCGCACATTCGGCGTGGAGCACTCACACCGCGAGATGGTCGGCGGTGTGCTCCTACCGTCATCGAGAGTCAAGTTGGACATATGTATGTTAATATTGATAAACATTAGTTTTATGCCATTAGTGTTAATAAAATCACACATAATGAAATCACAAAGAAATGGCCAAGTTTAAAATACTCAACACTATGACAGGCATCACAGTCAAATGTGTGTGGCATTTGGTACTGACGTCGTTCTTCCTTTCAAACATTATGATTAAGATAAATTTTCCCTACAGAGGGAGAAGCCCATACCTTGCAATGGACTTTTAGAGGCTGATAAATAAGTAGACTGTATGCTAGTTTGTCTGTCTATACTCCAAAAGTTTTCATACAAAATTCTAGGAACAAGTGAATGTTTCAAAATATTTATGAAAATTTATCATATTAAAGATTGTTGTCATCATAGTTATAAGTTAAATAACATTGTTTTAATAGAATAAGAGTGACAAATTAATGAGCACACAGTCCACTGATGGTAAATGAACACTACGGCCCACAGAGATCCACATTTATCCTCGACGATTAAGTATAAAAATGCAGATGCATTGTCATCCCTGAGGACTAAATATCTAGTTTCCAGTAAAAACGGTCACAACACAAAAAATAAAATAACCACAAACCTTATGCCCTAGCGGCCTGAGCTTACTGGTGCTAACTTCGTTAGGTATCCTTTTAAGAAATGCATTTTTTTGTATCTCTCTATAATATACAGGCCCTTCATCACGATTTGATGTCATAGTGCTGTCAGATCATTCAGATATTCTGAAAATAATAATTCAAATTAGTAATAGCAAGAGATCAAAAGTAACATCGTAGCTACAAGCGGAATCCAATGAAGAATTTTACTTCAAATTATATTGTCATTAATTGGAGAAAGCTACGGAAAAATTTGATTGCTGCTCCTACAGTGACCATCTTCAAGAATAGATTTGATAATAATAATTATATAGATATATAGAAACATTAAGGTGTACATACATCAGCTTTTAGCTGGTAATGTTTTATAAACATACAAATAAATAAAATGACGTGTCTGTTTGTAATGATAAAATAACAACTTGTTACTAAATGCATATGAAAGTATATATAGTACTTCTAACAAAAAACTGAACTGATTTTGACAGGACTTTCACTAGCAGAAAGCTGATGTTATAAGGAGTAACTTAGGATACTTTTATTTTAGAAAAAGAAATAGGGTTCCTGGCAGAAAACTAATTAAAACCCATGAAACCCAATCATAATAAATTTCACACGGATGAAGTTGTGGGGAAAATTAAGAATAAAACCTTTTATATCTATTTCTTTTTCTATCTCTGGAGTACCAAAGAGTTACATCTTTCATCCAGTTGTCTATTTCGGATTGAATCATAATATTACATCCAGTCTATTAAACTTTAAACTGCCATAGCTTATATGTTCAGTTATTTTCATAGCTTACCTAATGTCTATGAACGTTTTGTTCCTTCATTTAATTTATAGCATATTCTGATGAAGGTTACTTAACTTCATACTTTCTATGCTCTTTTCCATTCCATGTTTGGTACCTGGTACACTTAACTTTTTTGGTATTGTGTTTAAGTACCTGAGTTTGGCAATCAATGTATTAAGAAGGGCACTTTCCTTTTTTTAAATATTGATATAAGTTTTCAGTGTTTGATGTCCTAATGTCAGATTAAAAAGTATTAATTTTTGTTCCGATCTATGCAGTATGAACTTACAATATCTTGAAGTGTTGCAGACGGAGCCCCTCTTAGTGGGGCTCCATCTACTACACTTTGGTATTACTTTAGCGGAGGGGGGACGACCCCCCCCCCATATTAGAGCGATTTTTCTCAGAAATCATTCAATAAAACTTTAAATTTTCAACATTTAATATAAAAAATAGGCACATTCTGCAGGGAAAAAGGTGGGGGCGAATCTAATAGAATGTAATAGAATACCCTGACTGGTGACAGGAAGCAGAGCTAAAGGTGCAAAGCATTTATATTATTATTTATAGGTTTTTTGTAAGGAGTGAGAACCCTGGAGTATTTTAAATTTGTATAAAGCTAGATGAAGGTAATATGTGGAGGTTTGTAATTAGCAACTCTTATCACCATTTTGTAACTTTACAAAGATATTAGTCTGTAAGCCTTCCTAATATGAATAAATAAAATAAAAATAAAATATTTACTTAAATTAAGTATTATTATCTCTTGACAACATTAAAACAGTTTTTTAATGGTGGAAATATTAATAGAAGAAGTCTCTAGAAGTCTTATTTGGTTTAATAGTATATAATACTATTTATTGTACACTTTAACAAAACCAAAAATACAAATATTGAGGGGAAATAAAAGTCCTAAAAACCTGCATAAGGTCAGATATTTCAATTTAAATGTAAAGTTTTCATAAATATTCAATTTATTTGTTATGTGAAATTATTTATTGTGTTCATAGCTGGTAGTTAGTTTTTTTTTTACAATCTAGGGCTACATCACCACATAAAACCAGGTGGGATTGTGGTCAAGCACTATGCCAGTGCTTGACCACAAATAATAAGTAAAATAAAATTGGGAATTACAGTTTATTCCCAATTTTATTTTACTATATTATATTATATATATTACCTATAAAATATTTATCGAAGTATTGAATAGGCATCAACTTTATACAAAATAATATTTTAGTTATTACCACTAAATACTAAGTCATGTGGAAGCATTCTATAAAATTAATTGCCACCGACAATTGCGGCACAAAGAACGCGCATCAATTAACGAGGATAACATTGGGACGGCGTGTGACTCAAGCAGAAAATATGCAAGTCCTTTCACAGAAACGTAACTTCTTATGGAATTACTAGAAAGCATATTTTAAATCCTTCCTCTTTTTGAAAAGTTCTATTATTTTATAGAGTTGAGTTAAAATTTACTGTTATAATTTGATATACGTAGTATAAGTAAGAACAAAGCTATATTACCTGTGGCAAAAAAATTTAAAAATTTACCTTTGATTCCCTAGAAGATAGTGTACCGTAATCGTAACTAATGACACTATTTCAATGATCAACCTTCATAACTGTGTTGGTAGGTACTAGGTAGGCAGCAGTTAATGATATGTATCCTTATTACGAAGTGGCAACAGCAGTCTATTATCACAGCACTATGTTTGACATGATGAATTCACAATACAGTACACACAATCACAATAAGTACCCACTGACGCCATTCATAACATCAAAAAAAGTCAATGTCAAAATCAAATGATCAAAATACAAATGACATTTTTTTATAACTGGCTTTACGGCTCTGGGTTCTAACCCTTCTGAGCCTAAAGTTCCAATGTATAATTATTCTTCATAGTAAGTACACTGCTTCATCTTGACGGCAACTTGAGCCAGCAGATAGCTGACAGTTGGCGATGGTTTCTCAAGGCGCCTAAGTAGACTTCTTGAGAATCACATCACTATCAGAGCACTTGTTTCACCTTTTCCACTAATAGTTCACAAGTGTCTGCGCACTTAATACACAAAACTACACCACTTTTACGTATCAAAATCTACTTCAAACCATTATTTAAACAATAATACCGGAGCAGCAAGCCGCCGCCGATCAAGTTCCCGCCAAAATTCCATTCAAATGACAGCGACAGAGCAGCGCTACCAGAGGTGATTCCAAATGTTCCCAGAATTATATAAATATTTAAAAAGATGCACCAAAAGACGTCTAGGAAAGGATTTAATACAGTCAAATCTGGTACCGTTATCATATTATTAAAAAAATTCACTACAGTCTGTACTTATAAAGAACGGGATTAGAAATGGCGGCTCATCGAGGCCGTTCCGTTAATAAGCACAGCACCAATAGCAAATACCCGCTAATAACGGTATATCGTTATAATGTTATACTATTCGGTAAAATGGAAATTTTCTATTAGTGGGAAAACGTTTAAAAACAATTGTATATACAGGTAAATACATTAATTTTAAAATAACATTTCTAACTAGCGAGTCGCTCTGGCTTCACCTGGGTGAGATCTATTAATGTGGCGTAATTTATAGCTAAGATAATTTTATCAATATTTCTAGTAGTTCTCACTCTAGTAGTTTAGTCCAGATCACTTCTGGTATTACTGTCTATTGGTGTAGTATTATTTGTTCGTGAGTTTTATTACAATCAGTTCAGCCATTCCAAAGTTTAGCTAGGACAGATAGACAAACAAAATATTTTAAAAATGGTTTTAAAATTTTAAAAATTGTGTCAATACCAATAGTATGTATATATTTTGTACAAAATATCACAAACAAAATCAACAATAATTATGAAGAAAACTCTAAGAACACGTCGAAGCTCACAAATTAGCAAAACTGGACTGATGTTTTTATGTTTATGGCATTTTGTTATCATTGATTCCAATCACGGAGCAAATACAAAGAGAAAACGACATAAGCAACTGTGCACTGTGATTCTAACTAGGTTTTGACGTCATCACAGTGGGCGTTTAATAAGTATATTGTCAGTGTTCTTCCTGTGTGCTTATGTGTCGAAAATCGCAAATCGGTGTATTTTCGTAGAATTAAGTAGAAAATGATTAAGTCTTTTATTTTATCGTGTAAAAACTACTCAGATAGACGCTCTGATGCTATGGATGGCATCACATTTCATTTGTAAGTAATTTTATAATTAATTTATTGTAACAGTTCTAGAAAAATATCTTTGCGTCGGCTTTCAAACATAATTAAATATATTCGACACTAGATGAAAAATATTAAGTAGAGCTTACTATGGTTAAGTAATCATACGATGATGCTGAAATTTGTTTTGCATTCAGTCCTAAAGAATTTTTAATCACCAAAATATTATTGGAACGAAGTTCTTTATCGGACGGTACGGGTTTGGCGGATGGGAGCTAGGCGACAAAAAGTGTAAGATTTTTTCGTCACTACCCCTTGTGTCATAGTGTAGACGGCCTTGGCGGCGAAATAAGGACGTGAGATGGAATAATATCCATCTCCCTCGCACTTTTTCTTATATTGTCCTGAAAGAATCAAATAACGCTTCATGTTAGTAGATGTTAGTAATTCATTTATTTGTATTTGTTAATCAATAATATAATACCTACGTTTATCAATAATAATATACTACGCAAGGAACTTCGTTCCAACCGAGTGTTCCACGACACTCACGCATTTTTTAAATTTTTATAATCATTTTGTTAACATGCCGCCATCTATAGTCAAGGTAGCTAAACTACATTGCAACATCGATATGGAGCGATGGGAGTAGTTTTATCGGTAGATGGGAAATAGTTAAGTGGGCGGGGTTTAACACCCCTCACCCTACAAATAGTCACGCGTTGTTACATACTGAAATCTAATTACAACACCTCCTCTTTATATTTCCTCCGTGGTTCCAATGACAAGTTGGACTGAAATTCTAGAACGTACGAAAAATGCATATGGCAACGTACTTTTTTTTTGCAGTCTTTACCTGTAGGTGTCAGTATAGATAGCGACATTGTGCGATCGAGAGTAGTAAACAAAAGATTGTTAATTTTACCCTTAGTTTTACTTATTTTAACAGTGATTTCACAATTTTCTTCAATATTTACCGATCCTTTGTTTGACTCTCTATTTTTCCGAATTATTTCTTTATAAATATTTTTAATCTGAAACAAATCAACACTATGTCTCACATCATAAATGTGAAAGTTGAATGGATATTTTTTGTTAGGTACTTTTAATATAATTAAAGAA